ATTTTAAGCCTTACTGTAATAATATATGTGTGGATATTGAACTTCCTATCTTTCAAGAAACTGAAGTTTCGCCTATTTATCCTTGGGGACTTCCCACTCAAAAAATGTTTCTTTCTCTCAACAAATTTATCAAACACAACACAATGCTATATATATATATATATATATATATATATATATATATAATATATATATATATATATATATATATATAAACAGGAAATTCTCAAACTCCAAGACAGACTGGTTGATTCTAACTTTATCTACACTGACGGCTCGAAGAGCTCCGCAGGCGTGGGAGCACCAGTTATATATTTAGCGAACGACAAAATATTTTTTCTCTTTCACCACTACGTAATAATTTTACGGCTGAATTGGTTGCAATACATAAAAGTTTAAATGCTAATACACTAAACAAAAAATGGTCATATGTACAGATTCTCTATCCGCTCTAATTAGTCTAGGAAATGTTTTCTCATCTAATATCATCATGCAAAACATTCTGTACTCAATAAAGTCCGCAAATAGAAATATTATATCAGTATTTTTTTGTCTGGGTCCCTGGGCGTTGCGGAATAGCCGGTAATGAACTGGCTGATCGAGCAGCCAAAAAAGCCATTACTGATGGATTACCTTATCGGGGAGTACCTATTGAGGATTATATATCTAACATTAAACAGAAAATGAAGACAAAATGGGAACAGATATGGTCGAATGTCACCGAAAATAAATTGAGAGATTCTTTTTTCTTTTTCTTTTTTTATCTTTTTTCAAAATACTTATCGAGAATTTTTACCCTATAAACTTAATCAACGAACTTTGGTACAGACGACTACATACAACACTTCACCATAAAAAAAATAGAACCAAAAAACAAACAATACAAAAGACACCAAAAGAAAACATTGCAATAAGGAAACCTACACAACCATTCATCGCCCAATTTTTTGGAAAAACAAATCCAACAAACGAGAACAATCAGGACGACATATCACAAACAAACAAAATGGACTTTAACTACTACTACAAAATGACATACATACCTGAACTTACTAACAAAATTAAAGACGTGTTCAAAGATTATGACTTGACAGAAATTATATAATAATATAATACAATAATATAATAATAAGAAACTAAGAAGGCACATCACCAACCCAAAGGATATAATAGAACCAATAAACAAGAAAAATGTAATATATAAATTAAACTGTCAAAACTGCTCCAAAATCTACATTGGTGAAACATCCAAGCAATTAGGGACTAGAATTTCACAACATATCACCAACTGTAAAAATACAAAAAACATAAACACAACAGCTTCAGCACATCACAATATAAGATTACAGCATAAATTTAACTTTAACAAACCACAGATGATAGGCACAGAACCAAAAAACACCAATAGGTAATTACTTGAAGCAATACACATCACAAAAAACAACAGAACAACAGTCAACTACAAAACAGACAATAAACATTTAGGAACTCATTATAACGGACATACTAAACAAAATTAAAATTTAATAGAAGTGAAATTACAGATACATAAAATAAACATTAACAATAACAGTATAAAAATAGTCAGATAAAACTGTCAGATCCAAAGGTCAATTTTTTCACTATGGCAGAAACCCAATTATTGGTCAAAAGGAGGATGTCGCTCTAGATGATACATTTTATAACATGAATAAGAAATTTGACGATGGAGCACATTCAATTCAAACATGTAATGTAACAAGCACAATATTATAACTCAAAAAAATTTTTAGCGTTGCATCCACAAGATTATTAGGATTGCAGTTCCGAAGATTGGAGTTAATATTCCGAAGCGAAAATGTCAACTAACTTGTTAACATGTAACGTTGATAATAGAAATATACCGAATTGTTACCAATTGGAAGTTATTATTGCCAAATAAATTGAGAGAGATTAAGGGTGTCATCTCCTCTTGGGCATTGTCAAATAGGAATAAGCACAGAGAGGTAAGGAATTCTTACGCGCCTGCGTATAGGTCATACACGCCTTACTCATGGATACCTGATGGCTTGTGATTCTTCGCCAACATGCCAATCTTGTGGGACTCCTCTGACAGTGAAACACATTTTAAAAGAATGCAAAGCTTACGAAACATTTAGACTATCTTGTGACTTGACAAACGACCTACACAACATTTTACAGGAAAATACAAATGAAATTGACAAATTATTTTCTTTTCTGAAATGTTCGAAACTTGAAAATAGAATCTAATTCTCAATGAAAGTAAGGCAATAATGACCATAGTGGTTGAAGCCTTTAATTAAAAAAAAATAATAATAATAAAATCTGGATTTGGTTAACAACTATTTATCTATATTTGACTTACGTTGCAATAGACAAATAAATTTCAATTATATCTATTTAAATCAGACTATAATTATTGAGGTCCCATAAACATTTTAAATAGTTCTAGGCAAGTAAAATAAAAATTAAAAAGCTATCGTATTGTTTTGAACAACTATAATAACTATTAATATATTTATTTATATCAGTTACATTTTACCTAGCTTCGAACTTCGATTAAGTCATATTAATTTTTTCCCATTTAGTTTCAATGATTATGAAAACATTAAATCATTTAAAAAGTTTTATTTTTTATTTTTCAATGTTTATAGAAAGTTGTCCAACAGTTTCTAAAAATACATGGACTTTTATGTAAGACAAATTTCAAACCAATGAGGACAAACACAGGCTATATACAGGGGGAGGAAGAGGACTTTCGAGTTTACATTTTAGTAAAGAATGAATTAAGCAGCGAAATCAAACAAAGGTAAACAAACATTATCGTTTGGAAGAGAATTGATAAGTCTTGACAATATCAAATGAATAATCCAGTAAACGTAAACAGTTTGTTATATATGAAATGAAATGAAAATATTTTTTATTATCCTGGGGCTGTTGTCCCTTTAGAACAAATTATAGATACAGAAAAAATGTGTGTATGGCCGTATATTAAATTAAATATTTACAAAACAATACCTCATTAAAATTAAAATATAGGAAGAAAAAAAACACTAATAAAAAAACAAAAACATATATATATATATATATATATATAAAATAAGCATAGAAAAATAAAATACGCTAAGTAACCAAATTATTTCTAGGAGAACTTAACAATTTCTCTCATGTACTACTCGTGATCAAAAGAAGGATTAGGTGCTTAAAAAGGAGAGATTTAAATGAAGAAACTTATTGTGTTTGTCGAATATCGGGAATGAAAATGAAATGAAAACTAAATGAAATGAAAAAAATGTTTTATTATTCTGGGACTATTGTTCCTTAAGAACAAAATATAAATGCAGATTGTATGTCTGTGTGGTTACAATTAAATTGTATATTTACAATAAAAGTTGACTTAAGATAAAAATACTGAAAAGAGAAAGAAAAGAACAAGTAAATTGTACATATATATGAGAAACTAAAATAATCTTAATAAATTGAGGTAGTCTCTGGTGGTGCTCAGATATTTCTCTTAGATATATTTCACAATCATTCGGATTGAGAAAGGAGTAGGTGTTTAAAGATGCGAGGTTTAAAAGAAGAAACTGATTGAGCGTGTCGAATATCAGCAAGGATGGAATTCCAGAGGGAGGCGGCTTGTATTGCAAAGGATTTGTCAAACGCAGCAGTTCGGTGAGGAGAAGGATAGAGGTCGGAAGTACGAGATTTGGTGGGACGGGATTGGATGGAATATTTGAGTTGTAAGCTGTGAAAAATATAGGAGGGTCAATGAGTTCTAATGATTTGGTACAGAAAGGTGGCTAGGAAGTACTGACGGCGATAGGATGGGTAGAGCCACCTCAACTCAGTGTAATACTGGGTAATATGCGTATCCTTTGAGATTCCGAAAACAAATCGTAGTGCGCAATTCATTAGGCGTTTAAGTTTGGCCTCGAAATCTCCCGAGAGTCCACCGTACACCATACAGCCATAGTCGAAGTGGGGGAAAACCAGGGAGGAAACTAGGAGTTGACGGGACTTGTATGGAAGGAGATATCGTAGACGATTGAACTGTTTTAGGGTGGAGATAGTGCGACGGGAAATTTGGGAGATGTGAGGTTTCCAGGATAGGGATTGATCAAAAGTGACTCCTAGGTTTTTAACAGTGGTGTGGAATAAGATAGGCGAATTGTTCAGGAGGAGATTGGGAGATACCGGGCAGGATTTGAGGAGTGAGGGGGGTCCGATCAAGATGGCTTTTGTCTTCTCGGCGTTCAGAGTGAGCCTATTGAGGTTTGCCCAAGCACTTATTCTGTCAATGTCTTCCTGAAGTTTTAGAGTGGCATCTGAGATATCTGTCGGATTAAAGGAGAGGTAAATTTGAATGTATTATATGTAAATTGGAATGATGGTATCGAAGGAGGAGATGGCTTGAATTATAAAGGATTTATCAAACGCAGCAGTTCGGTGAGGAGGATAGAGGTCGGAATTTCGGGATCTAGTGGAAGGGGATTGAGCGGAGTATTTAAATTGTAAGCTGTGGGATGTGGGAAATATAAGTTCTGATAGGTTGGTATAGAAAGGTTGCAAGCAAGTACAGACGGCGGTTGGATAGATAGAGCCCCTTCAACTCGGTGTAATACTGGGTTATATGTGTATCTCGTTAGATTCCGAAAACAAAACTTATTGAGCATTTCATTAGGCGTTTTATTTTGGCTTCGAATTCACCTGAGAGTGCGTCGTTTACCAGACAGCCCTGGTCAAAGTGGGGGAACACAAGAGAGGAATTCATGGTATTTTATATACAGGGCTATTTTAAATGAAATTATAAATCCTGCATTATTTTTCCGACAACCCAATACAAAGTTAAAGAAGATAAAATCTCCTATCAATTTTATAAATAGTTTTTTGATGTATCGAAAACAAATTCTGTGAAAACAAGTTAGTTTCACAACTTAATCGCTAGAGCGCATGCATGAGGTCATTAGTAACGGTGACTATAAATAACTGTACTCAGCATCTGTTGGAGCAGTTACTGTTGGAACAACATCAAACAACCTCCAGTCTGTTTACTTCAGTTTGTCACAATGTGTGAAGTTTTGTTGACTAGTGTCCAAGAGGATTTTGATAGTTTAATTTACAAATATTCTTTGTTAAGAAGTTATGATTTTGAGGATTTTACAAAAATATGGAATGAAATGAAATTTTTCTATGTTTATTGGTGAGTAATATCTCTTTTCTGTTTTTATTGATGAGCATTAGAACGTTTTCTTGTGATGAAAGGTACCTAATTAATTTATATACATTTAAATTAACCTTCTGACATCTAAAAAAATATGGGAATTGAGGATGAAACCCATCCTGTCATTTTCCAAAATCCTGTATTTGCTTTGTCTGTCAAGAGTTTTAGAGGAATTTTTAAGTTTAATAATGTTATTTTAATTTTATTCTTGGCTTAATTTATGCTGAGATTCACTGGTTTTTTAAATGAGAGTAGAGCTTTCTTGTAAATTCTTATAATGGATATTATTATTTGAAACATGTTTAAAGGATGTTTTGTTTTATAGTGGAAGACCTACTGAATTGGAGATGAGATTTTTCACCCAACATGTCCTTACATTTGCCAAGAATATGATTCTTAATAAAGGAGCTAGTGAGTGGGATCGTGTGGGTGCATTGTACCTTCTTCATTGTTTATATTATACTCAACCGCTTTTGTAAGTTATCTTATTTTTACACTTAAATAGTTACATTTTTTGGTACTTTTTGTCTAGGGGGCCGCTACTGACTGCTATCTGCCAATGTTTATAACCTGAACTCTGATAACTCCCATACCGCAGTGATTAGACTTCATATTTTTGTATTATTGTATTAAATTCGTATTATTGAAAGTGTAAACAGATACAAAAACAAATGTAATAACAAAAAAAAAAACTTTTATTTGACGACACATATATTAATGAAATAATGAAGAGAAGAATAGTTGGGGTGGTCAGTCAAAAAGGAAGGCAAAAATAAATGATAATATTTATTTTTACATACGCCGACGTTTCGACCTGAAGTTAAGGCCATCAGGGCTGTCTCCTTAAGTGTTGCAGGGAGAAGGAGTTCATTCTCCCTGCAACACTTAATGGCCTCAGGAAACTCTTTTCTGTTTTTTTTTTCAGTTAAAATCAGGACATTAATTAGGGTTAATTATATCTCTGCTTTCGACTCTCACTAGTTTTAAAGTGAAAAACAAACTTCCACGGTATCTTTTCAAGTGAAATTAGGAACCTACCAGATTCGGTTTATTCCGTCTACTTTCGAACACACTCCGTCATTCTCGAGATCCCATATCTGGTGTAATTATGAGATCTTGTGTCATTCCTGTAAGTGGAGTAATATTTGTACATTAGTATCTAAATTTTCAATCAATCTATTGATTTTATACCAATACTTTAAGACAAATGAAGTGTAGTAGAAAATTAGGTTTGTAACAAAAAAAAAATACAATGTACTTATTTGAGTGCTTCCAAAGTTTCTCAGGCCATTATTTTGTCTTGAGCTTACTATAAACATGTGAAATGTAGATAAATACCCTTCTGTTAAATGCCATCCAATTTAGTATTTAAACTTTCTTACGTGGATCTAAAAGCTATCAGTTTTTTTTGTGTATGTTATGCTAACCCTCCATAAACTCTCTCTTTGTAAATTCTGTCCTTCATCGGTCTACCTGCTTTCACCTAATGAATTAAATTCCTACTTTATATCTTCCTCCACCAGCAACAGCTCACCCTCTTCTTACCAGTTTTCCTTGTCACCCTCATTTAACAGTGGTAATTTCCATTAAACGATCCATTAAAAATTCGTTAAATTCTTCTTCTTAGTCTTTCCTCTTCTGAGGTTATCACAGTACAGTGTGAGATGCCATTTGATCGAGTTTGGTTCACAAATCCCAGTCCTGTAACAGCTGTTTCCACCTTTTACTCTACAGACATTTACAGTCAAAATCCTTTTTAAGTCATCAAGTTTTCCCTTGGGGTCTCTTACTGCAAGTGCTTTATAGATAGTTCTGGCTAATTGATTCTTTGGAATTTAGTATACATATCCAAATCATCTCAGGCGATGTTCTTCCAGTATTTTCTTGATAGGTCTTATATCGAGGTTGTAGCGTTCCTCACATATTCTCTTCTAGTCTTTACTCCATTTTCTCACAGAAACCTCATTTCTATTGCTTAGATCTGACTTTTGTTTATTAGTGAGAGTCCAAGAATCACTCGAATAGGTCAGTATTGTAAAGAATGTGTTTTTATTGGCTAATTTGAAATTTCTTTCTGCCCCAGGAAGCCTGGATATCAGAAAATTGAAACACCTTGCTAAACCTTTCCTCCCCTTTATCTCATGGTCTGCTCATCTGTGTCCATTTAGGTGAAATCCAAGATATCGGTCTTAGTAATCACTTACGTATTGTGTTCCTGCTTCCTTAAGGCTTACTATTAAATGCGCTTGGTCGTTTCCCCTTCCTTTTCTTTTAAACTTTACTTTCTGTAAGTTTATTAACGTATTGATTTTATTTAATAATTAATGGAGGATATGAAAGGTCTCTACAATATCTCTCAAGTGCAACCATTATTTTATTACTAGATTAATTTTAGACGACCAAGTTTAAATTTGTAATCATCAATATAAAAATGAACATATTTTCTATATATATTTCTACATTTTAAAACCATAAATTTATCATTTTTTTCTTCTGTTAGTTCACAATTATTTAGCCTTTAATTGTATAGATTTTATTTATTTTTTTTTTTATGTGCTAATAAATATGATCATATATTTTTAGGAAAGCGGTTGAGATTCGTATTAATCATATAGATTTGAAGGAATTGGTACAGTTCGTGGAGTCTGTTCGTGCGAACAGTTTTGATCCTGTGTACGCATTAATGAAGCTCTGCTTTGACCATGCTTTCCACTTTGTTTATTGTGATATTCCAGTATGTATTATAATGAATTTATATGTTTATATACTTTAAATTTTATAACTAATTGTCAATTTGATTTCACTAAAAAATTAATAATTAGGCCAATTCATTAACTATTTGGAATTTTTAAATAAATGTTTTGATTTTTTCTTCTATTTTTTGTTTTAAATTCTGCTTATAAATATATATGAAATTCTTATTTTTTATTTTGAAGTTTTGAGAATTCTATAAACAAACAAAAAAAATTCTATAAGCAAATTTTTAAACAAGTAGTTTTATAAAATTGCTATAATTTAATCTTTTAATAATAATAATATAATAATAATAATAATAAGGCTTAGCGAACCCGAAGGTTCGATGCCGACACCACCAATCGCTTGTTTACACACCTCCCTCCACCGTTCGCCGTCCAAACCCAGTCCCTTCAGATCAGCTTTAATGCAATCTTCCCACCTTCGCTTCGGTCTACCCCTCCGACGCTTACCATTCGGCACAGCAAATATTAACCTTTTAGGAATTCTCTCGTTACTAAGCCCAACAACTTTACAAGCCCATTTGATTCGCCGCGATGAAATTACCTCAATTATATTACCCGGATATAGCTCACGCAATTCGGCGTTGTGTAACCGTCTGAACTCTCCGGTTAACTCATCCTTCTTCGGTCCGAATATTCTACGCAATACTTTATTTTCAAAAACCTTAAGACGCTGCTCATCCCTTAATGTAAGCGGCCAAGTTTCGCATCCATAAAGAACTGTAGGTAAGATAATTGTTTTATAGATTCTAATTTTTAAGTTCCGGGACAAGAGGCGCGAACTGAGTAGTTTTGTCACAGAAAAATAACAAGCATTCCCCGCCTTCAGTCTAACTTTAATCTCTTCTTCAATTTCGTTTTTTCTAGTTATTGTAGAACCTAGATACCTAAATTTATCTACCTGTTCAAACATATTACCATCTATATCGATGTCACCAGTAGTATCGCCATTTTTGCAGCTAACCATATATTTTGTTTTATCCACGTTTATTTCGAGTCCTAGTTCTTTACCGGCTTTCATTAACGTTGTCGTATTTAGTTTTATAGTTTCAACGTCTTCGCTTAACAGTACCAGATCATCAGCATAGCCCAGCACGGATGTTGTCCCGCCCAGATCCAACCCTTTCTCGGTACGCATTACCTCCCTAATGGCATGTTCTAATGCCAAATTGAACAGGACAGGCGAAAGAGAATCCCCCTGTTTTAAGCCCGAACGAACCTCAAATTTTTCGGACAAATTATTACCGATTCTAACTTTATTGAGTGTCTCCGTCAAGCACATCCTGACTAGATTTACTAGTTTTTTTGGAATTCCCTGCTCGATTAGAATATTATACAGTTTCTGGCGGTCAATAGAATCGTAAGCCTTTTTAAAATCTATATACAGCTGGTGAACAATACCGTTATACTCCAATTTTTTCTCTAATATTTGCCGTAAAGAAAATATTTGATCAATAGTCGAACGATTCCGTCTAAATCCGCATTGGTAGTCTCCGATAATTTCCTCGGCGTATTCCGTGATTCGACTGGTTAAGATTACAGTGAATATTTTATAACATACCGGAAGGAGTGAAATTCCTCGATAGTTATTACAATCCGTCCTCGGACCCTTTTTGTGAATCGGAATAAGAATAGATTCTTTCCATTCTTCAGGTAATTTCTCGTTCACCCAGATCTTTTCAACCAAGCGATGTATTTTAGAAACTCCAGCTTCCCCGCATGCCTTAATTAGTTCAGTAGGAATATTATCGATTCCCGCTGCTTTATATGATTTTAATTTTCCGATAGCTACTTCAACTTCCTCTTTAGTTGGTCCTTCTATTAACGGTTCAGCACTCTGGTACTCAGAAGGAGGACACAGATCATAATTTCCCGTATTTAAAATGTTGTCAAAGTGGTCCTTAAACTTATTCAATATGTCAGCCGGATCGGTCAGAATATTGTTATTATCATCCCTAATTCCAGACGTTACGGGCCCTACATATTTACGTGATCTGTTTATACCTTTGTACATGTCTCTTACGTTATTTTCGATTCTATTAGTTTCTATTTCAATTATTTTATTTTTGAGATACTCCCTTTTTTTATTTTTGAGCAATTTTGTCGTTTCGTTCTTTGAGATTCGGAAGTATTCCAGATTGTCTTCGCTAGGATTATTTAGAGCTTTTAATTTAGCGGCTTTCCTTTTTTCGCACATGTTTAAGCAATCTTCATCAAACCACGGTTTGTTATTCTTATTTTCCTTTTTTCCTAGACACGAGTTACCGACCGCTTTAATATTATCCCTGATCTCTACCCATAACTTGTCAATATCCTCGTGGTCCTCGTCAGGAAGCTCTAAAGCTTCAAACCTATTCTTAACATCTAGCTCGAATTGGTTTCTAATTGATGGATTTTTTAATTTTTCCAAATTAAAATTCTCAAAATCGAAACGGTTTTCTTTTCTCTTTTTTATATTAAGTTTTTGTCGAAGTTTCGCGATTACTAATTCATGGTCCGACCCACATTCTGCTCCGCGATAAGACCGTACATTGATTATACTGCTTTGCCAGCTGTGTTGTATCAAGACATGATCGATTTGATTTCGTGTTTGCGAATCCGGCGATGTCCAAGTATATTTATGAATATCCTTACGTTTGAACGTCGTACTTTTAATTACCAGGTTTTTCGAGATGGCAAAGTTTATCAGACGGATCCCATTATCATTACTATATTCGTGCAAACTTTCTTTACCAATCGTCTGAATATAAACTTCTTCCCTTCCTACCTTTGCGTTCGCGTCACCTACAATTATTTTCATGTAGTTTCGCGGTAGTTTATCATAAACCCATTCGAGTTTATCGTAAAATTCACTTTTGACTTCATCGTCACTGTCTTCGGTCGGACAATGTATGTTTATTAATGCGATTTTAAACCAACGTCCCTGAAATGTAGCTACCGAAATTCTATCACTAAAGAATTGTACGTCCCTCAAAGCGGATAGTAATCTACTCCTAATTAGAAACCCGGTACCTAAACAATGATTCCCGCTTCCTCCGTACCAAATAGTGTACTTTCCTTCCCTCATCGAGCCCTCCTCTGGCCAGCGAACCTCTTGCAGAGCCACGACATCCAAATTGTACCCATTTACCTCATTCGCGACCGATTTTAGCCCCCCTGCTGTGTTTAAACTCCTTACGTTCCACGTACCAATATTTAAATCCCTATATTTCAACTTGCGGCATGAATCCCCTAAAGCAGTCCCCACCCGGAGACCCGAACGGGGGACTAGTTTACCTCCGGATAATGAGCGTTTTACCTTAGGGAGATCCATGACTTTTTGTGGTGTTTGGTGAACTAAAGATATGTGAGTAGGGCGTTCAATCCTACGTCACACCCTCCAGCAAGTCTGGTGGGCCCCTACCTCCAGCAAGTCTGGAGGTCCCCTCCCTCCAGCAAGTCTGGAGGGCCCCTCTCATTGTTGGTCAGCGAGTCCATCGGACTTAGCCGGGAGGAACTTCCAAGGAATTTCCACCGACCATCCCCACATCCGCCACCCGTGGGACGCTCCCCATACGCGGTAATGAGCCCGCGCGAGGCTTTAATTTAATCTTTTAACTTATCAAAACAAGTAGAAGAAAATTTTATTTTTAATAATAACCTTATTTGCTTTTACAGAAAACGATTGAGAAGGCTGGTAAGATTGACTTGAATGCGTTGAGTAAATTGAACGATGAAGGTGAGATGAAAGAACAGAGGCAATGCATGATAGAACTTATCAAGAAAGCGAAAATTGATGAAAAAGAATGGCGTTCAGTTGAAAATGACTATAACAACACTATGGTTAGATTGTCACAGAGTGAGTTATCTTCTAATTTTTAAATTTGTTTTATTACTTTTTTTTGTCTTCCCTTCCACGCCTATTAGGCTACGCGGGGTTTTTCCCGGGCCAGGGGGATGGCGGGGCTTGCCAGAGTTAAAAGTCATTCCCCTTGTCATCGGGACGCGAACATGTAATTATATTATCAAATTATCTTCAGTTAATCAGGTTACTTAGCAGCACTTGTTCTGCATACGCTTTTAGTTCAAAAATATTAAAAATTTGTTTGTTCTGTGATTTATCTACATATTATATAACACTTTTTCAAAGTTCTAATTCAATTTGGAGGAGCTTTTAAACTTCCTTTTTCAGCTGTGGTATCAAGAAGATACCATTATAAACATTCCCATCTATCTTGACATCGCTATTGACTGCCATTCGAGAAAATTCATTACCTAAATCTTGCAATAGAATACTATGTTAAAAATTTGTGTGAAAAAATTCCTTAAAAATAGTCAAACAATTTTTTATTGAGGTTGCCGATGTTTTGACCCAAACACATGGTTCATCTTCATGGCTAAACACTAAAAAATAAAAAAAACATCATAAAATATATGTACGTAAAAGTAAAAGAGAAGAAAAAGGTGGAACGTACAAATGAGATAACCGTTATAGAGACATAATAAATAAGAACATTGCAATATATAAAAATAAATAAACCAAGTGATTAGTGTAAATAAAACAATTCAATTTATTAGAGATTAATAAATAATTTCTCAACAATTACCAATGATTTGAAAAACAGAAAGAACTGACTGTTTACGGAAATCATACAGTTTTGTTTTGGGTGGCGGGAGTGGAAGGGAGGGTTATGGTAAAGGTCATTCAATGGTTATTTAACGAAATATGTCAAAAATATTTCCATTGTTTATTTTTTATTTTGAGGGCTTAGTTGGTTTGTTCTAGTGGGCTGAATGGACTAACACATGTGCACAGCACCGCCGTTGCCCAGCAACCTGATATATCAATCAAATGATATAAAAATTAGCCACGAGTTCGCATCCCGGTGCCGAGGGAATCTTCTAAATCCCCGCCCACACCTCCTGGCCCAGTCTAATTTTTATTCATTTCTTGAAGAAATGTTCATTTTACAAATGTGCTCATTCTTTTATTTTTGCAGTGGCAATCGGACCTTCTAAGCTGAACTTCACTTCATCTGATTTTTTCAAGGATATATTGTTTCCAGAAAAAAATGGTCCATCTGTATCAGGTGAGAATAGATTTTTCTTTTAGTTATTAGTTACGATAAATTTTCTTTTTTATTTAGTTTAATGTTAGGTTTATTGAATAATAAATGTTTTTCATTTCTCATGCTACTTTTCTTATCAGTTAGGCAACAAAAGGTATTGGGATTTGGTCGAATTTTCAGTATTCAGTTTTTACTTGATCTTTTTACTTTCACTTACTTATATATTTAATATATAGTTACGGAAAGTATTCAGCAGAAATACACATATTGTAAAAATGAAATACACATGAGTTCCCCTGAGTCCAAATAACCAAGTCCCACAAAATGGTCTGTGTGTGTATGTATTAGCAATCTAGCTAAACGAAAAGTCGTAAGAAACTAAAAATACATATTTAATTTAAGTAAATGTTTGGGATGTCATAGCTACTTTTCGCTCAAAACTGACTAACTGGAAGTGCCATTTTATATAATCAATTTTACACATTTTTACAATTTTTTTCAAACTATTTTGATTAAACTCGGTGTATCAATGTATAATTAAGTGATCTCTAATATCACTTAGGTCTTATCCCCATTAATGTCGCTTAACAGGGTTTAAATGCCCAATGTTCAAAATTTTTTCCTCTAAAGTACTTTAATTTGGTTTATCTTTAATAATTAACTATCTCTCATTGTTAGAAAATATATAAAAAATGGCTAAATATAACTTTTGAAAGAATTTGATAATCAAATAAAGGAGAAAAATAGGAAAATATTTATTTAAGCCGAAAATGAATCTCTGGAAATAATAGTCCTTAGGTATACGTATAATATATCATTGAAAGCTAAGAATTTTAGGAAAAAACATATCTAAAGAAAGTTGTAGAAGCTAATGGAGAGTGATGAAAAAAATATAAATAATAATTTCTAATAACCTAAATTATTTAATAGAAACCACATATTTCCGTGGAAATTAAATGAAATTTCCTAACGAAATGTAAACTTTCAAAATTATGTTGAAGTTTGAGAAAAATATATATATAGAATCCGCCGAATAAAGGCTATGACATTGTTTAATAAACTATTTCATTGTATTTCTGAGAAAGTGTAAAAATATTTCACGAATGTGTAAAACATGTGTTTATAACCTTAAATACATTTACTGTAGTTTAACAACTCTAGATCCAATATTTTAATTCAATAAATAATTAGGTATCTATCGTTGGTTTATTCAGAAAGTTCATCATTTTAGAAAATTAAATTAGTGAATAATCTGATCAATTTTTCCTTTATGAAATTGCATCATTATTGACTTGTTATTAGTGTGACAACTTTTGTCCTGTTGAAAGGAGTGGAGTATCCTCTGAAATGAACTAATGTTTTTATTCATGTTACTTACAGATGTAGGTGAATCCAGTCATGGCTTCAAACCGTCCCAGGCAAAACGTAGAAAACAAAGGTATCTAATTTTTATCAATTTAAAAATCACAAATTTATTATATAGTCTAAAGCATAATGTACATTATCACTGTTGAAATATTTTTGTTTAACAAAAACAAGGAATAGATTTAGCAATTTATGGATTATTGTTATCAATGAGTTACAATTTAAATTATTATTTTTAAATGCAATCATATACTAGAGGCCTTGTAATTAATAAATGTCTATTTGCTGACAAAAATTTAATGTTATCACTGATAACTCCTTTCTTCATAAACAGTTCACTAGCTGATTCACTTTTCAATTAAAATTATAAAATGGAAGAAATGTGAAATAATAGTAAGTAAAAACAAACTATAATTTATTATAATGATGTAGAGATGGTTGACCGTTGACATTTCTTTTGCACCACAACACGCAGATGAGAGGTGGGAGATCAAAAACATGGAGTTTTCACCATTTCTCCATTATGTAAAACGTATAAAATCAGAAATATCCTATTTTGCGAGGTAATCATAGTTTTTCTTACTCTTATAGCAGCGTCAATTAGTTCGTATCAGTACAGAGCCCTTTTTACCCTTTCAGACCCTACCAAATCAATAATATCTGTCTAAAACTCATCTTATCGTAAACTATAACTTTTTTATCTACAAAAATTCTCAGAAATTGTGAGTTTTCTTAAAATTAATTAATTTAATGAGGTACTAAAAAGACATAAATACCCATTTGCTTTCTACTTCAAATCCGTTTCAATGGGAAAGACGGAGAGAAGTTTCAAAAAGTTTCTTCGAATAAATATAGAAGGTGCTGTTGAAGTGCAAAAAACCTTAGAAAATGTTAAGTCCACAAAAAAGATAAAGTAATGGCCGAGATGAGAAAAAGTTAAAACGGGAACCCTAAAAGTCTCTTTTTCAATACTAAGCAAATTCACATTGCACATCACATTCACATTGAAACACTGTGTTGAGTGTTTCAACTTCCTCCCGCAGTGCTACATCCTATGCCCTGATGAAGACCTGCAAAGTGGGTCGAAACGTCGGCAAAAATTAAATAATTCTAATTGTTTAATTTAGTATTAATTTGACCGCAACCCCCGATCAACTCCTTCTCATATAATTTATTATAATATTTAAAGATAAACCTGTTTACAAATTTTTGGAAACTGGATGAATAGGATGTGATTGAATAGGCGGAATTTGCTGGTAGTGAGGTTATTAAAGAGACGGTGGTAGGAAGGGATAAAGTTCCCATAGTGCCTTAGTTTAGTTAATTAGATGTGTAGAAATGCAGATTACTGATATTAGATTAAAGACAGATTTCTTATTATTGATGTATTTTTAATTCTTGAACTTTCATAGGCTGTTAAAGATGATGGTTGAGGGCTTGCTGACTAAGGAGGAAGATGGCGATGAGGGGCCACATCCGGATGGAGAATCTCTTCCGATGTTAGACTCAACCCTAGATGTGTGATCAATTAATTTTCTCTCTATCTTCAACCATCACATTTTTTTTCTTGTAAGTTTTATTATCCAATGTGTTAATTACTGTATAAAATATTTAAACAAGTTTTAGCTATTATTTTAGTGAATTGTAATAAAATTATTTAATTAATGAATGATTTTGGCTAAGACATAGAGATGTATGATTGAAAAAAAAAATTGATATTATTTCAATGTATGAGGTCGTTATTTTTAATCTTTGAAAAGAGTATATATATACTTATTTTTTTTTCTGCTGTAGTAACCCTACAAAAGAAGCGTATATTTTTTAGAAGTGTGTATACACCATGCAAAAACATATATGCATTACATTGTTATTTAGTATATAACTATAAATATAACTTATTGCAATATGTGTTGGATAAAGATATTTAAAAAGAATGGTACTTAATATGTATTACAAGGAGAATATTATAGATGTTTAAATAAAATAAATAGCAGTAAACGATTAAATAAAGTAAATAACAGTATCAGATGAATGAACAGTACCAAAATATACTAAAAAAAAAAGAGAAAATATAATAAATAAATGAATAAAAATATATGCAAAATCAGTTAGGCAAAATCAAATACAAAAATTATGTGGAGAATAAACAAGTGTTACAAATCTACAATTGAGTATCTACAAAATAAGGAATAAAATACATAAGACTAACTTTAAAGTAGTTTTTTATTTTTCTTCTTATTTTATTGTTTGCTTTGATGTCTGAGCACAAAACATCCAGGTCATAAGTGCCCGATCAACTACATAACACCACTTAATACTATTTGGATGGTTGGTACAAAAAATAAAAATAAAAAAAAGGATAAAAAAAATAAAGAAATGGATTGATAGAATAAAATAAATAAATAAGGATAATAATAGACATTTATAGATAATAAGAATAGATAAATAAATAAATTTTAAAAAAATAACAGTAAAATCAATAAATGAATTGAGATTAATAAACAAATGAATTTAAAATGAAATTAATGAAAAAAAAATAAGAATAAATAAATAAATTTAAAAAAAATAAAAATAAATAGATACAAAAATAAATAAATCTGCAAAGGATCATTAATATAAGCTCATCATATGTGTTTTTTAACTCTTTCACTATCCAGGGATGCTGATATATTCTGGGGTATTCCGAGATCTTTTAATCTTGCGGTGTAAAAAGGCCATTCTTCCAAAATATGTTTTATAGTTAGTAATTGGTTACACTTTTGACATCTGGGGATAGGATCTTTTGTTATGAGGTGGAGGTGAGTCAGTCTTCTGATCTTCAATCTTCTTTTATTGGTTAGTACTCTAATTCGAAATAACTCCGGTTATCATGTGGAGAATTTATTTCTTGAATATTTTGTTACTTCTTTCTAGAGTACTATTTAGAGTTCAGATCTTGCAGCCATTTATCAGAACGTTCTTTGTCGTACCATTATACTTTTAAAGGATTATCACTCTGGCAAAATAGGATTTTGCCTAAGATTTTAAGGGGTGAAAAATAAAAGATTATAACATAGGAAAATCGCTTACCTATTTTAAATTAATAAGCAAACCCAAGAGTTCAATGCATATATCATTGTTTTCATACTATTTTCTGTTGATTCTTGACAATACCCAATTTCAGTTAGGTCAGCCTTAATGGAATCCTCACATATCTATTTCGATCTACTCCTTTGACGTTTACCCATCTGTAAATTAACATTAAGGGTAAACAAAATCAATGACTCAATTTTAATATTTTTTATTACTTTCACTTACGTATATATGTAATATATAGTAAAGTAAGTATTGCGATCGTGAAAATTTTCAAATCTCAGTTTTCAACGGAAATACATGTTTTGAAGTCCCCTGAGTCCAAATAACCAAGTGTCGCAAAATGGTCTGTATGTGTGTGTTAACAGTCTAGCTCATAAACGAAAAGTAGTATGAAACTGATATTAAGTATTTAAGGTTTGTATATGAGCCGGATGTGACAGTAACTTTTTCGTTAAAATCGGCTAACCGGAAGTGCCACTTTATATGAACGCTGAAACACATTTTTACAATTTTCTCAAAAACGGCTCTAATGATTTTGATTAAACTCGGTATATCATTGTATAATTAAGTGGTCTTTAATATCATTTAGGTCTTATCCCCATGAATGTCACTTTACAGGGCTTAAATGCCCAATGTTCATATATGTCTTCCTCTAAAGTACCTTTAATATGGTTTATTTTAAAAAGTTAATAATTTTGCATTATTCAGAGTTACGAAAAAATGCTACATATAACTTTTGAAAGAATTTGATAAGTTAATAAAGGAGAAAAAAAATTAAAATGCAGAAAAACCTGCGTTGATATAGATTGTAGCGCCTAAACGAATGTACCGATTTCAATGAAACTTCGCTAAAGTCATTTTCTCGACACCCTTTAAATTTATCTATATAACATACTTCAACGAAAAGAAGCTGGAAAAAAAGTTACGAGGGATGGTAAAATTAAATTCCGAATAACTCAAAAAGTATACACTTTTTTGTGGATATTTTATATGGTTTTTAAGTTTATGGAATTTCCTAAAAAAATGTGTTAAAATCGGACAATTAGGAGGAAATATATGGTCTCTAGTTTTTTCTCCTGAAGAGGCGAAAATTTGAATGAATTTAAAATATAATTTTTTAATTGTTGAGACTAAAAAAACTTTTTTTCTACATACATTTAATAAAGTATCTTTTCTAAGTACATCTTTCATAAGAAATAAGTACCTAAATTTATACCTTTATGCTCAGTTCTGTATTTCAACACTGCAATCATCACCTCCGGAATCAACTTACTCGACTGCCTGCATAGATAACTTTTTCAACTAAAAATATCACTTAATTAACATTACTAAAAAATGTTGAAATTAGAGTTAGTCATTCTGTGGTTTATAAAAGCAAAGAAAGTTGTGTGGTTTATAAAAGCAGATGGAGTGACTAGATTTTTATTACCTACCGTCGATATATTAAATAGATATTTTGTAATTATAATGGTCTTAATGACTTGTTATCTGTAGGCTTTAAGCTTTAGCTCTGTTTAAAATGCATTTCAAAAAAATTTATAACAGCCCAGCATTGCCAGAAAATAATTTCTATTCAAAGTAGAGCGGTAAGTGAAAGTTGTGTGTTGCGCGTACCAGATTTTTTATGAATAAATTAATAAATAATTATTGGAAAGAAAAAATTTAGTTTATATTAAGTTATATTATTTATTTGCTGAGATCTGTTTTTTGTGTTATACAGGTTTTGGACATTTGATCCGTGAACGAATGGATGTTGTACTCAGCCATGACTGGACCCAGCATTGTTCTATAACCATGCTGGATCCAATCATAGCCGACTGTGGCTTTCATTTGAAAGAAAAAACTGACAGAAGATGAGTAGCAAGGTGTAATGGACCTCTATTTTTTTTTGCTAACATTGTTAGTGCAGTTTTGTGTTATAATTATAGTACAAATTATATAGTTGTAATACATAATTATATAATAAAATATATGATTTAATTTATCGCTCAGTTTTTATTAAGTTTTACAAGATTAATTTGTGATCAAACATTTTTTTTTGATGCTGCTACTGTGATATATATATAGTCAGTAGTTAATAATTAGTAAATATGTATATATGTGAATAATTTGTAAATATATTTAGCTAGCTTAATTTTAAATGTTATTTTTTTTTTAAATAAAGTTTTTCTTTGTTAACATTTTTTTTCTACCTTATTTTACTTTTATAATCACATTTTATTCAACTGTAATAAGCGATTATTTCAGCCAGAGTGCGCAGGCAATGAAGAAGTATATAAGATGAAATCATTTAAAATGTGCATACCTGATTTATATACCATGTCACCGTAGAAGTAATATAGCATTTTCAAGTCAAATTTAGAATTTTTCAAACCAAATTGGAATTTTTTTTCAAATCAAATTTAGAACTTTACAAATAAAGTTTGGATTTTTTCAAACCAAATTTAGAACTTTTCAAAGCAAATTGGTTTTTTTTTTTCAAATCGAATTTAGTATTTTCCATTTCAAATCAAGATTTTTTAAAATCAATTTAATCATTTTTATAACAACAAATGGATAGGATATTCTAGTTTTCTAATTAAGTTCCTTAGACGTAGTATCTATTATGAATAATAAGGTTAGGCGTTATAACGTTTAAAGACCAATTTTATTTTATTGATGAGGCAGGTTTTAATCTCTGTCTTCGAAGGAACCATGCCAGGCCAAGATTAAATATAGAAATAGAAAATCATCTTTATTCTGAGACTAGGTCCCTTAAGAATAACAATATTGTTTAAATCAATTGACAATAACTCTGGCCAGATGACCTATGACGCAATAGATTACGAGCAGAAAAAGAAAAAACAAACACATCCATATACATATATATACATACACACATAGAGAGGAGAGTGCAGAAGATAAGTAAAAAATAAAATGCACTTCAAAAAAATACAATCTTATGAATAGAAAAGATAAAAGGTAACAAAACCAATAAAAAATTATACCTTCTCTCACTGCTTTGTGAGAGGTGATCGAAATTCTGTTTCATACCCAAAACAGAAGAAAAAAAAAATATATAAAGAAAATAAAAACCTTGTTTCATAATATGTACTTAGCCAGCATCTGATTGAATTGTGAAGAGGAATTGGAATAAGAGGGTTTTAAATGTGGATAAGGATGGTGCATGGCACTAGCGGATCCAGGATTTAATTTTTGGGTGGCTTCAGCCCTAAAACATTTTTACTCATATTGTTTGGGGCATCAGGCCTTACCTAATCCCGAAGCAGGGAGAATCAAACCTGGATATAATTGATCAGAAGGGGGTGTTCATGTGGAATGTGAACAGAGAAAATGAGGTTTAACATAAATAAATATATTGATAAAATAAATTGAAATATACAGAGGTTGATGGGGTTTAAGATGTACATTTAGATTATTGTATTAGTGATCTATTGGGTAATATGGGCTGACCAGATAAATGAAGATGCTGGCTGATTGAATGATGATTTTTAATTCTACATTGAGAGACTGGTTTCTGTCATCTAAGTTGAATGATGTGTTTGGCATCTTCTACTAATGCTGTACTAGTAGCTGGCACCTTTTAATGTCTTGTGATGTGCTGGCATCCATGCTGCCTCTTCCTTATGCTGGTCCAGCTAGACATGTAATTCAGACTTAATATGCTTGGTCATGGAGACCATTTTGCTGGCAGTCTCAGACTCAGACTCCCTGGCACTGGTGTTGTACTTTGGCCCTGCTGGTTCCAGGTCACAAGGCAGGGCTAAACTTCTCCAGCTTGCCAGTAGATGGCACTGTCATAATGGCCAATAGATGGCGCCACTGATGTGCGCTATTTGATGCACTTACATTAAGAGCAACAGTGAGTGGCCTTAACACACATATATATATAATGATAATTATTTTGGAAAAAAAAGAAAGATACTAACTACCTGTATGAAATGATGTTTATATGGTTCATGATGTTCTATTAAATATAATTATACGGATAATATTTTAATAATAATATATAATATATAATAATAATATAATATAATAAAATAATATTTTAAGAGATAATTTTTAATATTTTTTCCATAAAACATGGTTACATTTTACCATTTTGGGGAGGTTCCGGCCCGAAAGTACTCCTCACTCACCGTAGATCCGCCCGTGTCCTAAGTTGAATAATTGATTAAAGGGAAACCCTAAAGGTTGAGCGTTATCTCGGGTCAAATCATCTTACACGACCGATGACTAAGAAACAGTACTACCGTACTAATACTGTTACTTAAGACCAAGACCAAGACCGTCTAATTGTTGCAAGAACAAGACCAAGACTGGTCACAAAAAATAATAACTTTTTGTGAATAAAATGAAGGAAAAATAGTTACTAATACTAGAAAATTTTAGTTACTATATGTAAACGATTAGTTGAACAAATATACTTTTGCATTCAACTCTTCTGATCCTCATACCAGACTGAAACGACAAGTAACCGCTCGACGTTTCCGACTACTTCAACACTTACTAGACAAACGCTCTAACTTTCCAATCAATTATAAAATACTCATTTACATGACTATAATAAGGTCTATTTGGACTTATGGAGTTGAGCTATGGGACTGCACTAAACCATCGAATTCCTCTCGTATCCATTACTATAATCCAAATTCCTTCGTAAAATCCTCAATGCTCCCTACTTTGTTACAAATAAAACTTTTTTTTTTTGGTCGTCCCCTTCCTCGCCTTTAAGGTTATACGGGATTTTCCTGGGCCAGGGGGTGTGGGCGGGGATTTAAAAGATTCCCCCGGCACCAGGACGCGAACTCGTGACTATTATTGTTTCATCAGATCAGGTTGCCGGGCAACGGCGGTGCCGTGCACACACGTTAGCCCGTTTGCCCTTAATGTTTCAGATCTTGTCCAATCCAGATACCTATTCTTCCATAATAAACTTAACAGAATCATCCCAACTCTCTCGTTTCTAACCTTGCTTCCTCTTCAATTCCTGATAACCCTCCGAGGCATCTGAAAAGAAGATGGCCCCGTGATCTCCTAATGTAGACATATCATTAGAATGCTAACATAGGGAAGTTACTCGATAAGTTTTTTCACATCATTATATCCATATGTTCAAATTTACTAAATGTATATCTTTAATACAGTGGTAAATATCATTAAGAAATAATAATAAAAAAAAACTTTCAAAAGTCAAACCTATATTGGCTATAATAGAAGGCGTGATATTGGAATTTAACTTTAAGACCTCTCGAGCTCCTGCTGAGAGAAGACCATTACAGGTATGGGATTAGATGAGAATGTCAAGCGGATCTAGTGTGTTACCTACTAGCGGAAATAGAAGAAGATGCTAGGAGCTGGAAGAGGATTCTTCGGAAGGATATAGTAGAAAAGTGGAACTGGCGGTGTTTGACAACTCCAAAAGGGGCAACCCTGAGAAAATACTTTTCCATCGTCGGGTCGCAGCTAGAAGTGACTTGGGATCTCTCGAGCTACTGGATCTCACGGATTCACCCAGGAATGGGGGATTTCGAGCAAAGCTAGTTCAGTTTGGTGTTAACATCGATCCCTTATCCCCAAGTTGTGGGTACCAGAGACCGCTGAGCATATTTTAGTTGCCTTTACCGCCTATGAGTCACTCAGGGCTAAACTGTTGAGGAAGACAGACCTCTATATCTTCCTCAACTAATAACGAAGGACAACTTTAAGTTCTTTAAAACCTTTGGAAACGGGTGGAAAGAAATAGTTACAACAACCCACTTCTCTCGAGGAAGAAGAGAAAGAGTTGTTCTAGAGATACTGCCAGAATGAGAAGGAACGAAGATAAAGCTGAACTCAAGCAAAAAGAAGTATGAAGCTAAAGCAGAAATAACTGTAAATTTCTTAAAAAATACAGCAGGTTATGAACAGTAAGATCCCAAAAGTATTGCCTCAGAGGCAGAGAAGGGTGGAAAATAAATAAATAATTTAACTTTAAGTCTATTTTTCTCAGATCAGTTAGGTGCCTTTCACACTGAAGATGCAAGACACATTCATCCTGTACGCAGGATGCATTTTGTATCTTTGATAAGCTCTCGTTTAATTACGCAGTCTTACGTCTTGCATCTTCGGTATCAAAAGGGCCTTACTTTAGGGCTTGGTTTCTTTCTGAATAATGTTGGTTAATTAAACTTCTGTAAAGGAACAATACTTGTTTGTAATAAAACTTGAAAAAACATTAAAGAAATAAAAGTACTGTTACTAATATAAAACTTTATTACATATTCATTTTTCATATTCACATATTAAAAATAAACAATGAGTGATACTTCGAGAATCAGAAGGCTGTATGTCAAACTTGAGTTTGTTCATACTTCATCTCATGAAACCTTTCGTACCTTTCTATTAACAATTATTTTTTAATATATATGTAATAAACAAGAATGTATTTAATTTTCAAAGTCCATAAACAAATGGCTTACGCGTGCCTTAATTATTAATCTTTTTCATTTCAATAATAATTATTTGGTATAGGCAACTTAATAAAGTTGTTTGAATTCACATGTTATTAAAATACTATCATCAGCTTTCATAAATGGCCTTGTCCCATCAGAGGCAACGAATTGGTTCAATTGAAAACTTTTTAACTGCTTGTAGTCAAGTACCCTCTCTGAGAGTTGCTGTTAATAAAAAAAATCATATAAGTAACAAAACAACTACAAAAATAATTTAAATAGTAAGAGAAATCCTAATTCTCTTTATATTATATTATATTATTTAAATCTTGTCTTAAAAACGAAATAAATGAATAAGAAAATTATAGAAAACCATTAAGAATGTCTTTTTAGTACTGAATGAGTTTAAATATTCGTAGATGTCAATTTCCCTATCAATCTACCAAATTGGTTCAGTAGATATAGAAGTATATTCCCTCAGGATGGATACAATATCGCAATTTCTGTAGTCTATATTTTTTTTTCTAGCAATTCTATAAAAATTTTAAATTTTTTAAATGTTAACAATTCATTTTCATAGCATATGGTCACGTAACATCATTTCAAATCAATTAATAATTGATATACTTAGACTATAATAATTTTTTTCCTGTATCTTGAGCTAGATAGTTTCAAAACATTCACGGGATCAAACTGAGTAATCAGGGGTGCCCAGAAGGGGGTTTCATGGCAAGTTGCGCCATCAAAATATTTGAGGAGGGCACATTTTGGCGGGGTGTTAAATTTTTTAGGGAAGCACATTTCGGCATGGTCATGAATTTTTGGAATGGGAAGTTTCAAACTAAGGACAAGAGAAAAACAGGGAACAGACTGCAGTAAGTGTAATTGTATATGACCTATGATCTTTGAAATTTTACTTTCATTTGCACTGTTATTAAAAAGAGGAGAGAAATAAAATATCTTGGAAAGGGAAGGGGAAAGATTATTGCGCTATCGACCTTGGGGAAGATGGGCATCCCTGTGAGTAATTACAGCCGTCTAAGTTAAAATTGATCATGTCATCCGCTCTAAGTCCGCTGCTCGTCACCCACCATTGATATCACTTGTCAATTTCATCCTCCTGGATAATAGTCTTCTATTATCTGGGGGTTTTGTTTATCATTTTTCTTGAGATTTCCTGGTAGAGCTACTAAATCTCCTTTCTTATATTTAACATATCTTCTCGCAGAAGCTTGAGAGACGTTCCTCCCATTAATACCTACATCGTCTCATGAGACACACTCCTATATGTACTGGTGATTCGTGGCAACAGGGTGCCCAGAAGGGAGTTTCATGAAGCAAGTTGCACCATTATAATTTATGAGGGGGGCAAATTTTGATGGGATTTTCAATTTTTGAGAGAGGCATATTTCAACAGGGTTATGATTTTTCCAAATGAAAAATTTCAAATAAAAAAACAAGTGGAAGCATGGAACAGACTGCAGGATTTGTAATTGTATATATTCTATGAATATTTAAGTTCTACATTAGTTTGCAGTATTTTTAAGAAGCAGAGAGCAATAAAATATTTTGAATGAGGTAGGTGAAGGATTATGTGCCATCGGCCTTGGGAGGATGGGCACCCCTGGGCGGCAGAGCTGATCGCTGGATTGTCGCCAACTTGTAAACATGATTTATATTTGGAATTGGCAGTGTAACAACATTGTACTGCATCTACGTAAAGTTTTTTTTTTTTTTTTTAACTTTTATTATGATATTTACAACTGTATTAGTATGAATACATCAAGTAAATGTGTACAGAGGAATATTATCACATGAAACACGCTTGTTGAGAAACTACCCATTGGTAGCACGCTAATAATTTGTCTACATGAGAAGATCACGAGGCCATCTTCTTTTCAGATACCTCAGAGAGTTATCAGGAATCGAAGAGGAAGAAGGTTAGAAACAAGAGGATTCGGATGGTTATGAAGTTTATTATGGAAGGATAGGTATCTGGATTTGGCCAAATCGGAAACATATGGAACATTGAGGTCTGCGTAAAGTGATATGAAAATATAAGCTTTGTTTAGATAATGAAGGAATACTCCGAACAGACAAAAAAAAGTATGAAAGGGATACTTTTGTTTACAATTAATCTAATAAAAATTATTTGTCATGACAGTGACGAAAAGAACACTACGTTAACCATTAATGATAATAATGATTTTTATTATTATTCCGTATTTCTATATTTTTTAAATATTGAAAAGAAATAAGGTCTATTTTCAAGTGTTCTTAAAATGAGTTATGGATACAAATTGACAATAAGAGTTATTATATTTATACAGTAATTTATTAAAGTAATTATTTAACAAAGCTAATATTACCCTTGTGAGTGGACTGGTGTTAGTCGTGAAGATGCCGATGAAGTCATTCTGCCTTGCTATATCTTCTGTTTTCCATTCCATTGCCAAGGTCAATTCAATGTTCTCTTGTGGTCTCAGTCTTTGGTCTGTAGCAAGCATGTCGCTGTACAGTGTTTTACCTTTCGGAAGAACTGTCTTTCTAATAAACATAAATTTTAATAAAAATAAATCGAGACCTAACTTTAATATTAATATTTTTAAAAAAATGAGTGAGTCCGGTATGACTGACTGGGTTAGGCGGTTATCAATGGTAATCAAAATTAAGTATCGTCACGTATGGTAAGTACTAAGAGGATGGCCACGTAAATTGGCTGACTGTCCACTGGGAAAAGCCACAGTGCCTGAGATTCCATATCTAGAATATATGATACCCTTCAGCATACTGGAGGGAACACACACCACTCAGTCAAGCTTCGACACCAATCAATGGGGCGAGCATAAAATTTCTTGAACATCGGCTCTAACTTACTCAGAAATTACAGTATATTGCTCAAATTTTGTCTGTTTCTGTTTTAAGAGGAATTTGAACTCACGCCTTTTAGTCAACCAGATGCATGCATTACAAACAAAATAATAAAATATTGATTTATATTTTATCTTGATAATATTTTTTATAGTTAAAAGTTACGTTAGTACAAATTAGGCAAATTCTTGAAATTCACCTGAAGTTGTGTAAAGAAATATTGTGATTTTTCATCTTTCCACCTAGAAGTACCAGTGTGTTAAGACACCCCGCTCCCTCACTTACCTATATACGAAATATATGGCAAGGGACAGTATTAAAACTTTTGAATCTGAGTTTTCAACAGAAATACATGTTTGAGGTCTCCTGAATCCAAATAACCATGTCCCGCAAAATGGTCTGGGCGTGTGTCCATGTGTATGTATGTGACAGGTCTAGCTCAAAAAAGAAAAGTTGTATGAAAGTGATATTGCATATTTAAGGTTAATATATACCTAAGATGTTACAGAAACTATTTTGTCAAAATCGGCTAACCGGAAGTGGCACTTAATATCATCAATGAAACACATTTTTACTATTTTCTCGAAAACAGCTTTGAGGATTTTGATTAAATTCATTATATCAGTGTAAAATTAAGCAGTTTTTTAATGTAAAGGGCTTAAATGGATAATTTTCATTATTAGTTTCTTCTAAACTACCTTTAATTTGTTTTATTTAAAATAATTAACCATTTCCCATTGATCTCTAATATTAAAAATAGATAAATATAAAATATGAAAGAATTTGATAATTAACTGAAGGAGAAACAAGAAATCGTAACAGAGAATAGTTGTAATGAAGGGACCAAAGGGATACGAGCTCAACCGAGCTTCTCTGAAGATTAGAACAGGCTTCCATAGTGACACGAGCTTAATATAATAAGGACTCCGACAACATTATGTACATATACATATGCGGTTCATAATAGATAGCACCTGTATTTACTCCTTTATGTGACATTGTGTGAGGGAATATATTGGAATATGATATTGCACTATGAATTGTACTCAATTGTGGAGTGGACAAATTATTCATTGAAAAGTCTCATATTGATAAGCAATCGACGAAGGAGGATGAAGGCGGAAGGACGTTACCTGAGAAGAGAAGTCTACTACACTGAAAATTAAGAAGATCAAGCCTAAAGTTATAAGAATTTAATAGATTCACTTATTACAGTTGTAACATAAATATTTTTGTTAGACAGGAGTGAAAAGCCATTTATTTATTTAGCTGTCCTGTAGGCTTCACAATTGAAGAATAATAAACTAGGCGAGTCAATTCATTCAAAGTGTATTTACTCAGTCCCACATTTCAGATTGTTTCATGTCACTCAGTGTCACAAAAAGCATTAGGTTCCCGAATTCCCAACGACAGTTCTCAAAAAGTCTATATCCAGTGCCGGGGTTTCGTGTTGAGAAAATTAAATTCATGAGTGCAAATAACCTAGTCCCCCAATGAAACGGATCGAATATTTACAATTCCTGCCAAAAGAAATATTTACTTTCAACTTTTAAGCAGATTATTTACAAAATATTAAAATTTGTATATATAAGGGTACAAAAACAAATAAAAATATTCACAATGAAATATGAATCAATATAGCATTATTAATGTTTATTTTCACTTCCCCTATGAAAATAATTATTTCTGCTAAGAAGATGGTGGTAAGTGAAAGTTGTGTGATGAGTGCACCGCATGAGATTTTTTAAAATCGTTTTTTAGAGAATTTAGGAACCTTGTAAATACATTGTTACATACCGACAGAAGAATACATGTGAGAAATAATATATAAAGATTATAAATAGCACAGAGTAATATAAAATGGTACTCACTTTATTGGTTCTTCTAGGAATTCAAAGAACTCGATAACATAATCTAAATTTGATTGTAATCTGAAGGTTGTATCATCGATGATGTCCATTAAGAGCATGCAGCTGACTACTTCATCTGTATTGATGTCCTTTACCACAAAACTGAAATTGAGGCCAAATAACTCAGAATCATCATTCATTATTTTGGTTTGATAATGTTATATGAAATAATTAGTAGGTCTTAGATATTGTCATTTAGATCTAGTGGTGGTAAGTAAGGAAACTGAAGAGTATTGATTGATGATTTTTTTTAAAGCTTTGACAATTTTATCAAAGTAAAGAGTGTACCAATTCTACAAAGCTTTAACTGTTTTACAATTAACTTCTAATTTATTAATTTGTGGCTACGAATACAATATAATCACTAAATCTTATAATGTCGATTAAGAAGATTATGATTCTATATTATCTATTTGAGGTGATTGAAAAATTAAAAAATAACAAAGCACCTGTGGAGGATATTCTATGAACCATGAACTTCAAGACTTATTCATTAATGTAAAAAATAGAAAAACAAAGCTGTAAAAGTAATAAATGAAGGTTTTGGTGATTCATAGAATCAAGATTTGATTTGAAAAATTATTTTTTTTCTTGAACTGTGTTATATTACCTGAGTGGATTATTAATAAATGTAGGCCAGACAATATCAAGCAGTTGAATGTAATCACGCTTTTCCACTTTAGACTCCATATTCGTTTCAATAACAGATTTATTGACGAAGCTATCTGGAATGATTCTATAAAAAATATGAGTGTTAGTTTTTATGAGACATTATATGGGAAATGTTTTATAGACGAACTTGGCCGAATAACTAAAATATAGGTCACATTTTGACAAAATGGGTTTTTGACTAAATTATGATATATATTGGTTCAAGATCATAGTCGAAATATTTTGTCTTATTTGAAGAAAATTTTTAGTCATACACAATATATAATGTTCATTCTCAGAATTCAATTTGATTTAATCTGCTATCTCAAAGTGGGGGGCATTTCGAAGTGGCCTCCATTTTAAGAGAGGGACTGAATACGTAAAAATTGAATTATATAAAGATGATTTTCTTCAAATCAACATAAAATTACACACAAAAAAAGTAGTGTGCCGAGTTAAGCACAGGCATTGCACGCAACAGAAGCCAGATTTGTTTTTATTCGATAGAGCATTTTTACAAATATCATGAAAACAGCTATTTGTACAAACATGATTATCAAGAAATAAAAGCTTTGTAATAAATAATTGTCATCATTTTTTCAGAAACCACGGGTATTTCAAAGTGCCTGGATAGAATATCACATAATTTCTTTAGATAATTTGAGATGAATCTCAAAATATTTCCTAATAAACTCCAGCTTACTGATTATGTACTTAAAGCTTATTAAATGATGAAGTTTTTGTAAATGTAGTAAAGTTAAAGGGTGATAAAAAAAATTCACAAATAATTTATGACCTTTTTTAAACAAAAGCTGTTCTCATTTGCCCAATAGTTCTCTATAAATAGTATTAACAATCACAAACTCTATTTTCATTTAAAATAAATTTTATTTAGTTTACTATGAAGAAATGTTTAGTTACTTAAATTAAATATTTTTTATGTCATGGCTTCGTATTCAACAAAAAACGAAGAAATTTTTTTTGTCTGTCTGCCGTTCCCCTTCCACGCCGAGGTCGAAAACTTACATTTTGCATCTCAGTAACATCAAATACAAGAAAAAAAAAGCTTCAACCCCCATTCAATGCAAATGCAACTTAGTACTCCCCTTTTTATGGCAATGTTACTGGGCTATAGTGTGTACGCTCACTTTTATCAATCTTTAAATTAAAAAAAAAACAAAAACTAGACCGTCATTCGGCCGAGTACTTCAAATGATGGGAATTACCTATAAATGTCTGCTTTATATTTTTCTGAGATTTGGTCAAATTTATACTTATTTAAATCTATTTTATTATTAGGTTTATTCCCGTTAGTATTCGGTGTCATCTTATTTACTATTTCCAGTATTGTTCCAGACCTGATAAAGTCTGATATACCTGAGAACATAACAAATTTATACAAACTTCTCAAATAGTTATTTTATATTTTTGAACAATAAGCTTCAGATTTTTTAAACTGATACTTACTAATGTTATAACCTGCTTCGCTGAGCTTTGCGATTGTCAGGACTGAATTTAGTGAATTTCCTCCAATATTGAAGAAGTTTGCCTCTGGTGAGAGTTTCCGGATGGCGTGGGGCAACACTGAAGCCAATGTTGACCACAGACATCTCATTGCCGGCCTATTTTCGTCGGGTAAATCGTTGAAATCGAATTTCATCTCATGGGTAAATCCTGTTTTGATAAATAACATTACTTATAGAATAAGGTCTGTATTGAACACTGCACTAAGTCTGTTGAAATAAGATATGTATGAAACATGCAATGCCGTCACATTCTAGGAAGTTTTTTCACAAAACTAAATTAAGTGATTTGACTTCCTGTTTTAAAAGAAGCTTATTGTTAATCTTCCCAGGAGAAGTTCCATCATTGGCAGAATCATGAGTGGAAGGGATCTCGAAAGTCCATTAATTCTTAGTTATCACCGGTTAACAGAGAAGAGCAGACAAATTAGATGATTGACTCCTTACTTCAACCACAGATAGGAGGAGTCAAGTTTAGAAAATTTTGAGAAATCTACGCCTACTAGAAGAAGAGGGAGTGAAAACACTCAACTAAAAAGAATCTAAAGATCAATCAGAAATCTTCTACTACGGGAAACAGAGAAAAGAGAAAATGATGCGAAGGATGGTATAAAAATTTATTTTCCTGGAGATATCTTTTCATCTGGTTGCATATCTCATTCCAGAGGCTCTCTCTGATTTATTTTTTCATATCTCAATTTGAACTAAATGAAGTAAAAGTTGAAGATTTATTCAGAGCATATTCTTCTGGTGGCAGTAATTGCAAGCTCATACTACTTAGCACTGATTGTAACAAGTGACTTGGGGTTCTTGATGTCGCCTTTTGATGAAATTACTTTTGAGAGATGGATTTTGATTTGACTTGAACATTAGGAAGAGCTAAAGAACTACAAGAGTTGATTTGGGAAAAATTGTTGAAGTAGATCCAAAATGCTAGAATGGTTATTACAGCTGTGATGACCTCTGTGCATCCATTACCTGGTGGCTTAAAAATATGGGAGAAAAAGGATGAAGAAAGGACCAGAAAGAGTTCAAAGGAATTCCTTTGATTATCAAGAGAGTAATAAGAACATTTTCAACAGCAGCTATGGAAGTAATATGGTAAAAAGTAGGCTTTAATAATATGCTTCACTTATTCTGGAACAAGTCCCTTTAGAATAATTCATAGTAATATTAAAATATAATAATAACACAATGGCTACACAGCCTTAAACTTGATTTAAAAAAGCACAAAGATGTTTCTACAGAAGAGACTGTGATCGAAAGATGGAAAAACAAAGCACTTACATGGTCGTTTTTAAAAAAAGGTATTTATTTCCCGGAACAGAAGAATTTATTTTGGAAATTCAGGACTAGGTAGTTTCCAACAATATTTATAGGAAATATATATGCGGGAAAGATATAAATGACCGATGTCACCTATGTAAAAATGCAACTGTGCATCAATCCAGCATATACCATCGGGATGTAAATAACCTACTGAAAGTTAAATGTAAATAATTTGTTTTTACATTTGCAGGAATAGCGAATATCCTTCCGCTTTTATAACGGGGAGTTAGGTTATTTACACTCGTGATTATTAAAACAAAACCTCGGCACTGGATATAGACTTTTTGAGAGTGTTTAACTGTTGTAGGGAATTCGGGAATCTAATACCTATTGTGACACTGAGTGAGAAGAAACAATAGGAATATATATTTGAAATGTGGGACTTAGTAAATACACTTTGAATGAATTGACTCACCTGGTTTGTTATTCTTCAATCTTGAGGCATATAGGACAACTAAATAAACTGGCTTTTCACTCCTGTATGATAAAAATATTATTTTACAACTGTAATAAATGAATGTATAAAAGTCTTATAACTGTAGGCTTGATATTCTTAGTCTTCAATGTCCTGCTTCTCTCATCTCAGCTAACGTCCTCACGCCTCGGTGTCTCAGTCTCAAGTGCTTGGCATCGTCTTCCAGCTGCTGCTACCTGATCGGACCTTTTTCCTTCTTTATCAATATGAGATTTTCCAATGAGAAATTTGTCTACTGCACAATTGAGTACAATTCACAGTGCAACCTCACATTCCTATATATTATATATTCCTTCTCATTCCCTCACACAATGTCAACTAAAGGAGTAAATACAGGGGGATGTCTACTACAGGGATGCCAAGCGTTGGCAGGTAAGGAATACCTGATGAGGCACAATAACCTAACCAAGACTGTCCATCAAGCCTTAGTCTTATTATATAACATGATTAATGATCAGGTTCCTTATTATCTGTACGAGCCCAAAGAGGTAATATCTGGGAAAAATAAAACAATATATTGGGATCATTCTATAATTATCGATCACACAATTAATCAAATAATAAACCTGATGATATGGCTTAATTGATCGAAACACAAAAAGTGTATGTCATTGATATTGCGGTCCTTACTGATGATAATATCGGAAAAACGATATCTGGAAAGAGCAGAAAACTAGTGCCAGGAATTTTGGCAACTTTATAGACTGGATTATATACAAGTATTTCCAGTAGTAATCTATCAATGGTCTCATCCCAGACTATAATATCCGCTCTATTGAGAAGTTGAAGCTGTCAGAAAAAGTAACTAAGGTCAGCGTAACTAAATATAATGTGGAACCTGTAGGGGTCATCTATACTCCTATTTATTTGGCGATAGAAATATAACGACGAAGATCTTTTTGAGAGGATTTGGAATAACATAATATATTCCATGCCTCCAATTTAAAATTGTAAATATACGTTTTTTTTTTCTATGAAGGACAGAAAGCAATTCTCCTTGGTATGGCGAATATCGTCTGAAGATTTTTAAACATAGTCTAAAATTTGAGACTAATCCTTCACCTAGGATTAGTCCGGGTAGGTGAAGATTTCTGGCCAAAGCCAAGAAAGTGCGAAATTCTAAAATAATAATACAATTGTTGACTTTAGAGACTCAGAGTTTTATAAAAATAAAATAAACAAATAAAAATATTAAAAAATTATAAGTTTACATCATACATACATACAAAATTAAAAAGACAAGAACTTATTAGATGATATAGCCAACTTTCACATCTTTTGGACTACAGATCTTCACTTAAATTACGAAACAAGAGACTGATCTACAACACCTTACTGAGACCAATATGGACATATGGACCAGAACTTAGGGTTCGGCAAAATAAACAAAATACAAACAGCACAATCAAAAATTTTATGAAAAATTGTTGACGTACCTTGGTACATTTCAACAGTAATATCCCCAACAGTAAAATCCTACATCCATGACAAATACACTACAATTCATTCTTCAACCCAAAATCATTCCAATCCTCTGGTTCTTTCTATCTCCTGCTCCCTGTTACCTGAACAATGCAGATTAAGAAGAAAATGGCCAAGAGACCTACTATATCGATAAAAACAAAACCAAGAAAATACACCAGACAACAAATTTGCTAGATGCGCAACAGCACAGGTGCAAATTGCATAGAATATAAATAAATAAATAACATTAATCATTTACAAAAAAAATTAATATAAATGTTTACAAAATAGCCTATTTAAAATTGTCTGAGAATTGGATGAATAGGAAATGATTGAATAGACATGATTTAATGGTAGAGAGGGTATTGGAGTGATGGATGTAGGAGGAGATAGAATTCCATATGGATGAGGATCAAATAACGAAAGATCTGTAGAAAGCCGCAGTTCAGTGAGCAGTTGTATATAAATCTGAAGACCACTTTAATGTTGTACCTTGTACAGACAAAATTGTATCTTGGTTTATAAACCATGAAATTATTAAGAGAAATTAAAAATTCTTAATGAACTTGAAGGAAGAGGGTGGATCAGCTCACTTCATGATTTTTACTTAGGAATCTTACTGGTTTCAAATAAATTAATCAAAATATATATATATCAGAATAACATATCTAAAAACAATTATATACCTTTAACATTTATAATGCATTTTAAATAGATAAACATTTTATATGCTATGGTTTTATACCTGCTAATTGATTGTGATGATGAAGGAGACATTGCCTATCAATTTTACCACTGACAAGTAATGGAACCTGGTCTATCATTGTCACCTGTAAAAAATATATATATATATTGAATTTATTTTATGTTCCTCTTTCTAAATATTGTTTAAAAGTATTCAGATTTAAAAACTTCAAGTCTCTCAAGTCAAAGTAAATGTCAAGGTTAAATATTAACCTATTAGTATGTTATTAAATTTAGGACTAAAATCTTTATCATTAAAGATGAAAAGTCATCCCCAGGAGTAGAGAGATCCAAATAATTCCCTCCTACATAATAAATGATCAACTATGGGAGATAGACGTATAACCAGCATAAATAGAGCTTTCTTCTTTACTTTTAGGGTACTCAAATTCCGAAAAATCTTTAAAAATCTCAAATTAAGAGTGTACAGTGATGTAGATAAAGCCACAAGAAGCCTCTAAATATCAATGAATGCTGAAATAATGTACAAAAACACAAGAGAATAAATGGTGTGCTAATCCAGGTGGAAGAATAGAACCAACAATCATACTGGGAAGCTGCATGCAGTAAACTGGAAAGCGATCACTAAAGACAGACAGAGATATAGAAGACCAATTTAGGTGGCCAAAGATCTGTAAGGTTATGTACATACATACGAAAAAAAAAATATATATATGAAAAGAAAAATATGTGCTCTAGAATATCAGGTATAATAGCTTATTTTTCTTTTTATCATTTTATTTTGTATTGAGTTATTCAATGAATGATATGTGACATTCCAGTTTATGATCTTTTATAGAATAAGTTCATGAATTACTTTTCAGTAACTACAGTGATCATTAAAAAATATCATGTGATTTTAATCACCATTTTTTACCTATACTAGGTAAGGAAAGTATTGCAATCAGGTCAAATTTCCGACATGCGGTTTTCAAAGGATCTATACGTTTCAGAGCCCTCCGAGTCCGAAAAACACATTTTTAGCCATTGGTCTGTCTGTCTGTGCCAAGATTTTTTCGGGAACTACTGAACCGAAAGATATGCCGTTTAGCCTGTTGTTTGATAGGTAATGAAATTCCCTACAAAGCCATATAAAAATTGTTCATTTTGGACAACTACTAACGAAGTTACAGCTATTCAATTTCCAATGTAAGATTACGGTTTCATATCCTGGTGTCAGAAAGGTGTGGAAGAGAGAATAAAGATGACTAAGTGAAATTAAGAAAATCTGTTGCCCATATCATACAATCTTCACTATTTCCTCTACTTTTAACAGAAATTAGTTTGACAATACTGAGCTATGGCAAAAAGTTTTTGAGCAGCAATATTAGCAAGTATTGCTAATAATTTTTACACTGATCTACCTTAAGCCGGTTTACATTGCTTTAGTTTATCAAATAAACCTTACTCAAATCTTATGTTTGATTGATTTTCAGGAAAATGTATCTAGTTCAATTCTTTTTTGTTTCTTCATGAACATATGTAAAGATATAAAAACTTATCTGAAATAGGTAGGAAAGTCGTGTGAGTGGACACATCAGATATTTTTTTTTTTAAAGGATGTTTGGATCATAATATGCACAGTGCAAAGATTATATCTTCAAAAAAATGTAATTGATAGTTTGGATTTTCACAGATGCAAGTTCATTTTTTGAGTTTATATATACAAACATTTATAAATTATATTTAATAATTTAATTATATGTAATTAATGATAACACATATTATACATAATGTATATATTATATTTGGATTTATAAATTATATAATTAAGACCTTCTTAAACATATATACCTGTGGAATGGCATATGATGGAAGACTTTTCGATAATAATTTCTGAATGTCAGCTGGCTCAGTAAGCACTCCTTCATTTAACAGTACAAATGCCACCAGTTCCTTAAAAAAAAAAAAAAATGCACGAAATTAAGATACTTAGAACGGGCTGTATAGGATTTCAATGAATGTTGAGTAACCAAATAAGTATATTTTCTTACTTCTGTGTCGAGAAAATGATTTAATTTGCGGTATTATAAACATAATAATAAAAAATAACATGTTATTATATTATTATTGAATATTAAAAAATTATTTATTGTTTTTTTTAGTGCATTGGTACCTGATCAATCTGGCCAGGGTTATAGCAGAGTACAACACCTTTTTCAACTTCTTGTAATTTATTGAGAGCTGTTTCAATTTCGGACAAATCTACTCGGTTCCCTCTCACTTTTACCTGTGAATCATTTCTTCCTTCGAATATCAGGATCCCATTGTAGACGGTGGCATAATCACCAGTCTTGAATAAGATTTTGTTTTCTAGAAAAATTGAAATGCTTCGTTAGGTTATCAAATTCTTCACCATAGAATTTTACAGATAAGCATTGTTGACAAGAATATTAAAACTGTAGACTTCAAAAATAATTGGATCAATACATCTGGAAAAACATTTTTATGAAATTATTTATTATAAATTAAGATTACACTTTCTATTATAAGGAAACAATTTCCTAAGCTCCAATTAATGTATGCCATGTAAGGATAAGACTTCTTAAGCCCAAATTACAAACAAATGGAACTCTTCAGTACCATATTTTCATTCACTCAGGAGAAGTCTTGAAGATATTTTTCTTCATTATATATTACCTGGATCAGCTGTGGAGGTATTCTCAATAAATCTGAAGGCATCTCTACCATTGACATAACCTGCCGCTACTTGTTTGCCTGTTATGTAAACTTCTCCAATCTCTCCACTGTTTACTAGCCTCATCTGGGCATCAAGCAGATACACGGTTGTATTATCAACAGGTCTACCTGCAACCATTTTAAGAATTATTTGTCATCACCTTAAGGATGGATTGTAATATTTAATGCTTGTTGGATGTAAACATACCGATTGGTACTTTGCCTTTGAACATAATATCCTGTTTACTTTTCATTACATAGTAAGTTACATCACCCATTGTTTCAGTGCTTCCATAAAAGTTGCACAGTATTCGTGAACCGCCATTTCTCTCTGACCAGTCAAAAAACTCCTCAGCAAGAGAGCACGATAAAGTTTCACTAGTGCAAACCCACAACTTCAGCTGTCTTAAGCTCTAAACCAATTTTAAAAAAATAAATAATTTCATTCATTCATATATATTACTACGGTTATCATAATTAAAATATCAAATAGATTATTCAATAACATAGGAGTAGTACTTAAACAATATAAGTTCAAAATGTAAATAAAACAATATATATTAAAACAAGAGAAAACTTTGATACTTGCAGCGTTGTCATTTGTGATTTTTAAATATGTGAGAATCAACTTGAGTAGTGTTGGGACTAACATGATTCTATCAACCTGTAAACAACAACAGCATAATTATTACTTTTACGATTTCCATGGCAATTTTTGTAAAGGAGATTATGAAACAAAATAAAAATTTAAAGAGGGAATTTCTAAATATTTAACTCACTTTATACTTATTTAGTAGAAATACCAGAAGTTGGGGGTTAGAACGAGCACTCCTTGGCAAAATCAACACAGGCAGTGGGAAATCTGGATTTAGTAATGGCGCCCAAACCTCTGTCACCGAGTCTAAGAAAGTAGTAGAAGTCTTAAAGCAACAAGTTTTTTCTTCTTTGCTATAAGGGAACGTTCTCCACTGCCACTCCAATCTATTCAAAATTGAGCAACTCTTGATTCTTACTCCTAAAGCATTAAAAATAAGAAAACGTGTTGTATAATAACGATTGAGTTATTAAATAGGCAACTGTCTGCGCTTATACAAACATGAATATTAAATCACTTAATTCAGGAGAGCAAAAACTCAAGAAAAGAAACAAAGTTTTGGTATATTGTAGAAAGATCCCAAAACAGAGCCTCTTGGTTCTCTAAAATAGTATTTAATAACTAAGCAATGCTGGTATCTTAAGCTATTAAAAACATATCACATAAATAATCACCACAGATAGCACACCTCATGCCAGCTGTATGTAAAAAGATAAACCAAATACTGATAGTAAATCACTTTAAAATGTACTCTAAAATATAAGACTGTTTCAGAATCTCCCAATAATATACTGGTTCAAACTACATGGTGGTTAAAATTAATAGTTTTAAAACTTAACGTCCCATTCTCTAAAAAAATGTAACAATAATATATTTTTATTAATAAAACAATTAACAAGAGAGAACGGAAATCTATTGTAATTACCTTTTGGGAGACCAGTACTGCCTGAAGTATAAAGAATGATGTCAATAGGGTCACTCCTGGTGGTGTAAGGTTCTTCATAGGTCAACGGTCCATCAGACAGATCTTTGGAGCTATGCACAAGAGAACACCAACTTATTTTATTAACATCAGGAAATAAGTCTTCGTCGTCTGAAATGATCAATTTTGTATTAGTATTTAATTAATCATTTATTAATTAAAATATTATTATTTGTTTTTAATTTTGGAGGTACTTTTCTTACAAATGACATTGCAAGAAATCAAATAGGTAGTTAAGTTTTTCGCTTGGGCTATAAAATAGTGCTTGGGAATTAATTTTGTTTAAATTTGAAACATAAAACTTTTTAAAGTTAATTTTTCTGCTGTGAAAAATATGATTGTATAATGTAATTTAGGCAAAAGAAAAAGAGAGGTCAAAGTATAATTTTATATAATTACTAATTGTATAACTTTATGTAATTATGCTGTATAATTTCACATAATTACTATTACTAATTAGGATAATCATCAGACAATTAATTATCAATTAACCATTTTTAGAAGTATCCTGAGAAATGTTATAAGATTTCCTTGTTATTTTTAAAAATTCTAGTTAGGGTCCAATTAATGAACTTAATCCATTATATGGTAAATAAGAATGGCTACAAATATAATGTTTTATTTCAAATTTGTTTTTGTGGTTAGACTGAGGAAATATCATTTTTTAAAAATGACTCAACATTGATCATAATAGTTAATAGTCATTAGACCATTTGTACAAAGTTTCCCTATTTAAATTAGAGTATAGAAAGAGGAGAGGATGGCCAAGAGAAACAAGGTTAGAATAACTGCAAGAGGAGGTATGGTTTGATAGGAGATTAAGCTGAGAGAAAATACAAGGAATATGATAATTTTATTATGATAAGTTCGGCTTTATATAAGTATATATCTAAGGAAAAGATATGATGATGGAAAAGTTAATGTACATTTGAATTACCCCAGTCAGCAATGACAAGAAATGGTTTGGTTTCTTGCAGCATATGCCTCACTCTCTCTTTGGGTGCCGGTGGTTCTACAGGAAGGTAGCAGGCTCCAGCCTTCCAGATGGCAAGGATTGTGCAGACAAACTTCCAGGATGGTGGAACACATGCAACAATAACAAGGTCACCATCCTTGTTTGGTGCTACCCATTGACCGCAATGTTGGAGTATTCCACGGGCCATTTTGTTGCTTTTCTTCTCTAGTTGGTCCATTGTCATCTCACACCTTTTCGACAGTCTTTCATCTGTAATATTTATCATTATACTTTTCATAGATTACAATGGTAAGGTTATTTAAAATATATATATATAGCTAGGTTTTAAATAAAATTTGTTCTAATGTGGTGTCAAAGTTTAAATTTTAATTGGCATTTCATTAATATTTAACGAATATAGATAATTTATGAAATTCCAATGTTTTTAATATTATGGATGTTTTGTACAAAAATAATAAATGGCTTGGTTTGAGTATTATTAAAGTGCTCAGTGTGAATTCAAGACTAAGTTATAATTAACTAAATTACCTTGCCAGATGAGTGCGATGGCATCAGGATGATTTCTTGCAAGATTTGAGAATACCTGACACGGCCTTTGTCCATGAAATCTACTCTTTTTTGCTGGACCTGCCAGGAAGGCGTCGTTCTTTATTGAATTCATCTTTGCAAAAAAAAAAAATATTAATTAGTCAAGTTGAGCATAATCGTCGACATATGAAAATTATTTGTGTGGAGCACTAACGGATCCAGGATTTAATTTTTGGGGGGGGGGAATTCAGCCCGAGAGATTTTTTTTTCGCAATTACTTCAGAAGAAAGAAAGGGCACTCCTTTTAAATAGCTGGTCGGGACTTTGTGGACGGGGTAGCCTAATGGGCTAACGCGTTGTGCACAGCACCACCGTTGCCCGGCAACCTGATATATGACTGATAAAAATAGTCACGAGTTCGCGTCCCGGTGAAAAGGCTTCTTTTAAATCTCCGCCCACACTCCCTGGCCCGGGAAAACCCCGTATAGCCTTAACGGCGAGGAAGAGGACCTCCCCAAAAAAAAAGAAAAAAAAAAGCCGGTCGAGACTATCTGACAATTTTTATAACTGATAATTCCTATCTTCGTATTCAAATCTATTGTATTATATTCATATTATTGATATTGCAAACAAAAATAAAAACACATGTAATAATAAAAAAATACTTTTATTTTACAACATAACAAACCACCGTCTAACCAGTCCCTTTCCTTATAGAAACATTTATGTTACAAGTGGATAGATAACAAGGTAGGTATCGTGCCGACCGGCTATTTAAGGAGTACCAAAGAAAGAAACTAACTACCTATATGAAATGGTGTTTAAGTGATTCCTAAAGTCATTTTAAATGTAATTACACGAACAATAATACTTTAAGAGGTAATGTTTTTCCATGAAACATGGTTATATTTTACCATTTTGGAGGTAAAGCCCCTCCCCCCCTATATCCGCCCGTGCCTTCGAGTATTTTCGAGAATCTAGGAATAGTGTGCCCCCAGTGATCTTGAATGCCGTGAGGCCATCTTAGTAGAGAAACGGAACTTGTACCAAAAGATTTAGTCAATAAAGACTTATAATTACACTAATATATAATCTAAATATATGTACTCACTGAGTCTTAAGTGACAAAGATGTAAGAAGTCGATGAACGAAGAGGCCTCAGGAATGGCCACAGTACTGAGTTCTGCGCTGGTGCCATGGAGGTTATATACACTCCCCACCTACTCCCTCAAACCTCTGTGTACTTCTTACATTGATTTCTATTTTATCGACTGTTAAATTATATATATTTTTTCTGAACATCAATTTTAATCAATTGATATACAATATATTTTTGTTATATTTATAGACTATATTGTTATCATATTCAAGTTAACAAAAAAAAGAAAAAAAAAAGTTGCGTATTATTACAAAATGGTTTGATACCTCTAAATAGTTACATGTCAAGTATCTCCTCACACTAATGTTGTTTGGGGAAATGTGCAATATAATAATTGTTTGCTAATATTGGCATATTGATAACTTTTTATTTTAAACAGACAATTATATTATTTTTTAAATAATGATTCTCGAATGGTTCATGCAGGTATAGTTTTCGAGTTATCAAAAAAATTGAAAATTAATATTGTTATCTGTGCTTGTTTGATTACCTTTAAAGGTAGAGAAGCTACATATATTCTCACAGGAGGTTAAAAAGAAATGGTGTTCAGAATCGGATGCTTCCTCTTGTTTTTTGGGTTTCAGACATCAAGGAACATATTTGGTTCCGTGTCTATCTGTAGTCAAATACATGTGAACGGTACAGTCTACCGTGTGATGGAATTTAAAATATTAAAGTATCAAATACTAATTCCATTTCTGCTTTATGACACGGCTACAAATAAAAAATTGATAATTTGGTTAGGCCCAGAGTTATAGAGTGATTAGGGATTAGATAAAATTGATCCCGTATCAGTTCCAAATATATTCCAAATATTTTCGTTTAGGGATGTGTAATTTGAAGTATATTATTCACAAAGAAAAAATGTTTCTTCCACTCGAAGCAGACGTTAATGTTAATGTGAGGGGCCCATCCCCCCAAGACCGATGGCGCATGCCCCCCAAAAAATATTATTGCCCCCCCCTCATTTATATAATTAATACGTATCTATATAAGATGTAATATAAATGTTAGTTTAAAAGATAGTAGATAAAATATTGTTTTGTTTCCCGAGAATATTAAAGAAACAATACATTAGCCATCAGTAACATGAGCTATATTTTTAGAGGAGGCACCGACTCTCCCCTTTCCTTCGCTTCCGAACCCCATTATCTGCCAGCAATTCATAATTATTTTGTTTTATTATATTTTTTCCTTTTAAATAAAAATTTCATCTGAAATAATTGCGAGAGCGTTGTCAAAATCGGACATATAATATTATAATGGAGGAGGAGGGAGGTAAAAATTTGAGGATGGATACATTAGTCTTTATTTCCTAATTAGTTTATTTTAAAATGTTGAAACGACTTGTCACTGATGAAAATATTTCATAAGGATTTTATTTTTTGCTGCTTTATTTTAAAATTGTTTCCGTGTTCTATAGCCGAAGACAAGGCATAGACATTAGTTGTATACCCATACACACATATACATATACACACAAGGTACCGCATACCCAAATACGAAAAATACGGAAGACAATGCTCTGCTTGTGTTGAGTACTTAGGATAAAGACATATCTGCCGCTCTTCCTAGTATGTTGTGCCCTTAAATATTTTTTTATATACACGCAAACCTCAAAGTGTGTTTTTTTTTTTTCATTATTTCCTGGTTTAAAAATTGAAATTTTCTCTTAAAATTGAAAACTTAATGTGCCTCTGCACAAAAATTCTAATGGCGCAACTCGCGCCAAAAACCTTCCTTTGTGTGTGTGTATATATATATATATATGTGTGTGTGTGTGTGTGTGTGTGTGTGTTCTCCATCAGAACATAAAGACCTATTTCCTTTTAGGGCTTCAATCTCATTGCGACACAGGCTAGTACTAGATGCTCAGCTATCTCACAACTTGAGCATATTAGATCGGTACAGTGATTCACCACATAAAACTGATGGAAATTAAATGCTAAATCTGAAAAATGTGTTCTTGAGATCTATTTGAGTGACTCAAAAGCATACTAAATTAAAAACTCTAAAATTAATTACACTACTTAAATACGAGCCAAATACTTTAACATATACCGAAAGGGTTGTGAATTCCTTAAAATGGGCGCCAATTCAAACACATCCGAAGTGACAACATTAGATTCAACGAATGAAATTCTTTTAATTTTCACTGAAGACAGAATGAAATAGTTGTATGAAGACCTGTTTACTGAAAATAGAAAATCCTGTTGTATGGATCTGTTTCTGTTCCGGAGAACTGCCTGGGAGGATACAACAGAAGAATGAAACCGGCGGTAGATGACAAGTCCGAAAGAATCTACCTAGATGAAGTACTTTCTTTCTATCCGGGGTCACGTTCAAACGCGAAGTGAATCCTCCCAGACTGCGGGTTTTCGGATTTCGGGTCAAGCTTCGGTGTCATGACATAGATATCGATCCTTTATACCCTGGCTGTGACGTCCCGAAGACTGCCAAGCACATTGTCTTAGATTGCGCTGAGGGCTAAGCTGCTGAAGGAAACCGGACTGTATGCCCTTACAGACACGGGCGGATCTACGAGGGAGAGAGGTTTTGGGGCTGAAGTTCCTCCCAAAATGGTAAAATATAACCATGTTTTATGGAAAAAAATATTAAAAAATTATCTCTTAAAATATTATTGTTCGTGTAATTACATTTAAAAGGACTTTAGGAATCACTTAAACACCATTTTATATAGGTTGTTAGTTTCTTTCTTTTTCTCCAAAGTAATTATCGTTATTTTTATTTAAAAAAAAGCTTTCGGGCTGAAGTCCCCCAAAATTAAATCCTGGATTCGATAGTGAGTACAGAGAACGGTTTTCTCTAGTTAGTCACCTTCAGAAAATTAGAAGTACTTCAAAGATTTTGTGAAAAGCGTCCAGGCGGAAAATGTGTACAATATTATGAAGACTGAAGAAAGAAAATAATCTAATTGCTATTAAATTGTAAATTGTTCATATGCAGTAGTAAGATGCTACTCACATGTGTGTAACATCCAGGTACTGCAAAAAGCTGTATTGCTCATAGCAGGGTAATGTGGAAATAAATAAATAAAACTGTTCCAGAGGGCTGTGTCCGTTACAACGTTCAGTTTCAATAACGGTTACAAACGAGTGTATCTGTCGCAGTGGGCTGTATCGTATCTGTTGCGGAGATCTGTTTTAGAAAACTGTATCTGTTATGGAGAACTGTTTCCGTTAGTGATCGCTTTCATAAAACTATTTCTGTATAAGTTGCCGTTATATTTTTCTGAGGACTGTTCCAGAAAGTTGTTTGAATCAAATAGGTTTATTTAACCTTCCCTCCTTTTTTTTTTTTTTTTCATAGATATCGTTATCTTCACCTACTAAACTGTACACGAATACGTCTTTCATTACCTTGTTCCTATGTAATCTCGATTGAGATAGTTTACTGTACCTATTTAAATGAAAGAAACTGGTTTAGAATACTGTTTAGATGACTACTAAACACCTATCTCAATTCTAGCTGCCGCTCTAGTAGAAATAAGAGCGATCACAACTACAATTTCAATTTATTTTATTGGATTTTTTTAAACCTTGGAAATAATTAAGGTTTTGAAAGTTTGTTACATAATTGAAGAAGAAGTATGAAAAATAAAAATCGAAATTAACACACAAAGGGATTAGCGCAATGCAGATGGCGCCCTCATTCGATTCTTGAGCACTTTTCCTCTCAAATTCGAGATATTTAACATTTCATATAATCTCAGTGATTCGGCTGAGAGAGAAGCGTTGGAATCTCTTAGAGTCTTGCCTTATCTTCCACACATGGGAAAAGGGCCGACTTGGAGCTCTCTCGCTGACTGTAAATGAGCATGAATGTTTTTTTTTTTCTTATTTATTTGTGTTATATTATATTTTATTTTATCTGTTTTACTAAGCTTTCTTTCTCTTATTTTTGTTATAATTTCTACTATTTTTGTAATTATATATATTGTATGAATGAGTTTTTCACATCTCAAATACTCAATGCATTTCATTGAGGCTAAATGTATTTTTTTCAAAAAAAAAAAAAAAATAAAGCAAAAAAAAACATTTCATATTAATAAAAATATATAATAGGTTTATATTAATAGGTTTCATATTAATAAAAATATATAATTCCGGATAAGGACGGGACTCAGACAAGGAGACGGTCTCTCCCCAACACTGTTCAACGTGGTACTAGATAGGATAATGAAGGAATTGTGGAAAACCAATGATGTGGGTGCAAGTATAGCGACCAAAAACAACCACGTCAAGGTAAGGTGTCTTGCCTACGCAGACGATCTTGCACTTTTAGCGGAAACGGGAGAAGAAGCAATCGACCAAATGAATACACTGACGGAAATAGCCAAAAAAGCGGGTCTCCAAATCTCCTACGAAAAAACAAAATTAATTAATTAATAAATTAATGACCACAGACGCAGACTTCAAGAAAAAAACAGTGGAAACCAAATACGGGTCAATAAATGTAACAAATAAATTTAAGTACCTGGGTGAGACTATATGTAATAATGGTGCTGAAAAAGAAAGTATCAAAGAAAGAATAACTTGGAACAAATTGGAAAAACTAACTTTTGCAACCAGTAACATATATAACAAGAGAAATCTGTCCACGGAAGCAAAACTACGACACTACAATACAGTTGTTAAACCTGTGATACTATACGGCACGGGCGGATCTACGGGGGGGGGGGGGGGCTTTCGGGCTGAAGCCTCCCCCAAAATGGAAAAATATAACCATGTTTTATGGGAAACAAAATTTAAAAAATACCTCTTGAAGTATTATTGTTCGTGTAATTACATTTAAAAGTACTTATGGAGTAAATTAAACACTATTTCATATAGGTAGCTAGTTTCCTTTTGTTTTTCCAAAGTAATTATCGTTATTTTTATGAAAAAAAAAGGTTTCGGGCTGAAGCCCCTCCCCCCAAAATTAAATCCTGGATCCGCTAGTGCTATACGGGACGGAAACCACATGCCTCCCCAGTC